AGACTTTTAAAACGCCTATTATAGGAATGCTACGTAACCATAGCATGAATGATAGTTATCACTACGCAACCATAGCATCGTCAGCAGTGATGATCAAGATGATGATAAATATCATTAGATGATGATTAGCATCACTATGCATCGCCGGCATCTCCAATTGCGCCTTAATAGCTATTATTGCACATCCGTAGCATCTCCGACAATGAGGATGATGATAAACATCATCATCCTTAGCATCTCCAGCAGCGATAACCAGGATGGTGATAAGCATGATTATGCATCGCCGGCGTCTCTAATTATGCCTAATATAATTATTAAAAAAATTGCAATAGGAACTTAAAGGCGATGATCATCGTTACTTAGTCATAACATCGCCGGCAACAATCCAGAGCATCTCCAATTAGGCTAATAATAAGCATCATTATGCATCCGTTGCATCTTATGCAATGATAGCCAGGATGATAATAAACATTATTACGTATCGCCGGCATCTCCAACTATGCCTAATATTATTTTTGAAATACGTATAATAGAAATATATAGGCAGTGATCATCACTTAGCCACAATATCGTCGGCAACGATCTAGAGCATCTCCAAGCAGCATAATAATAAGCATCACTACGCAGCCGTAGCATCTCCAGCAATCATGATTAGGATAATGATAGGCATCATTATGCATCGTCGGCATCTCCAACTGTGCCTAAGGTAATTCTTGAAATAAATATATATAATAGGAATATAAGGGCGATAATTATCATTATATAGCCACAATTTCTTCAGCAATAATTCGCATAATTGATAATTATCATTATGCATGCATAACATCTCCAGCAGTGATAAGCAGGATAATGATAAGAATCATTATTCATCCGTAATATTTCCAGCAATAATGATCAAAAGGATGCTAAGCATCGCTACACGTCCGTAAGATCTCCAGCAGTGATGATTGGAATGTTGAGAAGCTGACATGCTTCTTAAAATGTATATAATAGGAATATAAAGGCGGCAATCACTACGTAGCCACAGCCTCGCCAGCAATAATTCACATGAATAATAATCATCATTTTGTATCCATAGCATCTCCAGCAATGATGATCATGCATCCATAGCATCTCCAGCAATGATGATCAAGATGATGATATGCATCACTACACATCCGTAGCATCTCCATCAGTGATAAGCAGGACAATAAGAATTATCATTATGTATCGCTAGCATCTCCAAATATATCTAATATAACTTTTGAAAGTCTATAATTAGAATACGAAGGCGATAATTATCACTACGTAGCCACAGCCTCGCCAGCAATGATCCGCATAATTAATAATCTCATTATGTATCCATAGCATCTCCAACAGCGATAAGCAGGATGATGATAAACATCATTACGCATCCGTAGCATCTCCAGCCAGCAGCGACAATTAAGGATGATAAGTATCGTTATACATCTGTAGCATTTCCAACAGTGATAATAAGAATGGTGAAAAGCATCATTATACATCGCCGGCGTCTCCAATTGTGCCTATTGTGACTTTTGAAGTGTATCTCATAGAAATACAAAAGCGATAATCATCACCACGTAGCCACAGTCTCGCTAGCAAAAATCCATATGATTAATAATTCTCACTATACATCCATAGCATCTCCAGCAATAATGAGCAGGATGATGATAAGCATCACTATGCATCCGTAACATCTCCGGCAATAATGATCGGGTGATAATACATATTGTTACATATCGCCGGCATCTCCAACTGTACCTAACATAACTTTTAAAATATATATAATAAGAAGAAAAAGGCGACCAATATCACCATATAGGCAATGAATATCACCACAACACAAATTTAATTATCGTCGTAGTGTCGTCTATATTACCAATGTATCCTATTACTAATTGGGCTAAAAGAGTGATCATAAATATTATCGTAGCATCCTCTGCATCACCAATTGAGCCTAACGCCACACTTCGAGTATACAGAAGAAACCAATATAGGATGATGATGATGTTGATGATGCTGATTGGCCAATTCCACCAGCTGTCAATATGCTCATCCGAGCAAGTTTCGGATGCGCATGGTCCGAACTCAACTTAATGGTCGTCATAGAATTTTCTGCATCACCAATGCATCCTATGCATCACCAATTGAGCCTAATGCTGATGATAATGATGATGATGATAAGGGATTGTGATCATAACTATCATCATAGTATCCTCTACATCACTAATCGAGCCTGGCCCCATACTTGAAATATATATAAGAAAGATATGCTGATGCAATAATGATGACCTTCTACCCTTCCCGTGCGCCTCCCCCTTTTTAGGATATGGGGTCGGTAGATATGGTGATAAACCCTAAAAATAACAGAAATGGGGTTTCATTATTTTTATAATTTTTAATTTATTATTATTATATATAAATATAATTAATTATTCAAATAATATTAAATTAAAGGAATATATATTATTATAATAATAATTGAATATTATTAAAATATTATTAGAATATTTAAATAAAGATACAATATTTTAAAATCAAATCTATATTATATTATAGAGATTTTTTTTTATTTTGTATAATTAATAATAATATGATACAAACATATTTTTTTAATTCAATATTGAAACTTAAATATATAATTAGATAATAGTATTGTATTTTTAATATTATCATTAATCGATAGGAATTAATAGATGGAGGAGGAAGGGATATAAGAAAAAGAAAAGTTAATTAAACAAAATGAATTATTTATATTTTAGAATTATGATGTTTTTGATTTTTTATATAGTTCTTCTATTATGAAGATAACATGTGTGTTTTATTTTTATATTTAATAAATATATATATATTATGTAAATAATACAATTTATATATTATTTTCTTAATGGGTTTATTATAAAGATTAGATATAAAAATATATTTACTATTAAAGAAATATATTTAAAAAAGGCCATTACGGAATAAATTCTTGTATATAGAAAAAAAGGAAAACATAAATTGGATTATTTTATATCCTATTACTATTTGAGATTTATATAATATTACATATTATATATTATTTGGAAATTAAATTATTTATATTATATATATAATATTTTAAATATAGATTATATATATTGTATATGAGAAAATATGTTTGCAATAAAAAATAATTAAAATAATAAAATTTGGTGGTTTATATTTGTTTTTTTCCTTGATATTTTAGATTTTAATTTGTATTTTAATATTATATACGGCGGTGTTTTGTTATTAATATGATATTTTCGAAATAATATATAATTTAATTTATTATAATATATTAGAATTGTAAATAATAGTCAAAACGAAGCCAACCCCTACCCTATCCATCTTGTCTTTTAATATAAAATATCGGTTATAATATCTTATTCATTCTTTCGTCCAAAGATATTATAATTATAATATCGTATAAAAAATCAAAATCCGGAAGTCTAATTATAGTCATATATATAAAATAACCAATTTCTTTATATACTATAAATGATTTTTTATATTCGTTTTCCTCCCTCCTGTTTTTGCCAATATTCTACTATTTTATTTCTTACATATATTTATCCTATTCCCTCCTTCTATTTATTATATATTTTATCCTATCCTCGTCCATTCCTAGAAATTTCTTGTTTTCTATACTAATTAATCCTTTTAATTTGCCTTATTTTTTCCTATAAACATTTGTTTATGGTTAAATACATAATCAAACGAATTATTATTTGGATCACCAAAATTAAAAAACAAAACCAAAACAAAATCATTCTAATAATATAATATTTTCAATTTAATAATTTTAATTCTAATAATTTTCCAAATATAATAATATTATTTTAGTATCTGAATAATATTTTAATTATGTTTTAATTATATTTCGATTATATTTAAATAATATATTATTAATATCAAACTAATATTTCAAAAATATATCAATAATATTAATATGTGAATTTAATATATATACAAAAACATAAATTATATATAATTATTTAAATATATTATTTTATTTTAAATAATAATATTTAACATATAAATTTCCAATATTAATATATCTATCCTTAAATTTCCATATATATTTAATTTCCATAAGAATTCTCACATTTTGTTTAAAAAACATAAATAAATCATAAAATTACAATTATACATTTAAAATCTCCAAAACAATTAAAACACAAAATCGATTAAAACCCCCAATTTCTCGATTTCAATTAAAAATACAACCTTTTACCTATAACAAATAAAATCATAACAACCATATAATATCACTAAATTCATCTAAACACAATAATCCAATTCCCCCATATTATTAATTCTCTTCTATCATTATTATAATTAAACAAAAATAAAAAAAATAAAAACATAAAATAAAAAACAATATTCAATTCAATACAACATTATTTTTTCAAAATTAATAATCTTTAATTTAATTATCCTACAAATATATATTATTGCTATATGTATTTTAAAACAATTATTCAAAACCTCAATATCAATATCAATTCAATTTCTTTTATTACACATCAACAATTAAATCTAAAATATTAAATGTGGAACAAAATATATTCTAATAAATAATATAATTATATCAATAAATAAGTATAATAAATTATAAATTCAATAAATATACAAATAATATATATATATATATATTTGTATATATTTATACATTATTTAAATTCAATCAAATATATTATATCCAATATTTGAATATATAATATATATATATTATGTATTCAAGAACGAGATGTATTCAAGTTGATGAATACATTGTTCAACATTATTTTTTATTTGTGTGAAAAGGGGCAAAATTTAAATCGATCTCTCGGGCAGGAAAATCAAACACACGCCTGCCCAGGTGATCTGAAGGTTTGAGCCCTATTCAGGATCTTGGATCCCGATCATGCACGGGTGCGGGGGGGGTGTTTCTTCTTTTTCGGGCGCTCTTTGTATCTTGGATAAAAGTCAAACCAATGAAAAAAACAAAAACCATTTTGGGGGTTCCCCTTTTTTGAGACACACCCGTATGCGATTGGGCGAATGCAATGCAGGGTCCTGGTCGGCTACCCAGGAACAGCCGACAAACTGAGGTACGGCGAACAAATTCTAATACACAGGTTCATGCAGGCACTTGCCGCTTGCACACATCCTCTCAGGCAATGCAAGTCTGTCGACCTTTGCCGCGCTCCTGGCAAGCTGCAACGCCACACAAAGAATTGCAAGCAGACCTGGCCTGGAGGAATCAGGACTGCTAGATCGGGAAGACTCCACCTCGTTGCTCGAATTTCTGGCAAGGCAGTTGTGAAATGTGGTTTCAGCCTCCACCTCCATCATTGTCTGATGTAGGGTGAGAAGGGCATCCTCACCTGGCAAGGATGGATGGAGCAAACCAACTCCAGGAAAGCTTGGTGTGCAAGCGAGAAAATTGTCGCTAGCGTTGCCTTCAGTCAAATCCACATCAAAGTCTTCGTCCAAGCTGGCAAGTGCAGGCAACCAAGCTTGGATCATCTTCAGCTCAGAGATCAGCTCTGAACAAGAAGGTTCCTGAGATCTCTTTGCCACGTAGGTGTGAAGCACGCATGCTCTCTGAAAGCAGAAAACGTGGAACGCAAAAAGGGCTTCCCCAAAAGGGGGTCGCTTCAATTGGACATGACACTTGCTGCGTAGCATGTTTGATGCTGCTCCACATCATGCTCGCAATGTATAGGCATGCTTGCAATACTTAGGTAATTATCCAAGTCACCTCCAGCATTTTGACCTGCAGTCCAAGCCACTCGTCGGCAACCGTGAGCCACCATGTCAAAACCCTTTGGTTGGAGGGGGGGGTGTTCAAATGATGGTGTCGTTCTTTCCGTGGGGACCCCTTCTGAACTTGATGTCAAGAGCCTCATTTCAGACCCCAGCAACATTCTGGGTTTCTCAAAATATGGGAAAACACCAGAAGCTATGCTTCTCCAAATATGAATTCTCAAAATCTGGCTTTCTCAAGCGCTCTCTGGGCATGCGGCGGTCTTGGTGCGGAAAGACTTGGGCTGCCCAGTGCGGGGGCTGGACGGATTCAGGTGCTGGAAGCCGATCCTGAGCTGATTGAGGGCCTAACATCCACCCCTGGCATAAAGGGCAGGGCCCCACAGAAGGGAAAATACCCGCCTTAAATGAGAATATCAAAACTAGCGACCCCTCTGGTCAGGCTCGCGCGATTCCTATTCAAGCGAATCTCATTTTGACAAAAATCAAGGATCCCAGGATCCAAATACTGGTTCAAAGCAATATCTAAGAGCCACTATTAGGCTCAATGGCTCTCCCTCTACGGCTCGCACGCGGCTCGCGTCGCAATGAACACATGGTACTAAAAGGTCTACTCAAACGGGCGGACATTTGCGACTGTCCCCAACTCTAACCATCATCTACACTGGCTTTTGCTGTAGCTCAAAGATGACAGCCAAAAAAGTGGCCAATATCGATTCAAGGCCAGAGAAGTGAAGAGAAGCCATAGGAAAGATACTGTGGATGGACGAAATCAAAATGGCACCACCTAAGAAACCCTGGAATGTCTGCAAATACCAACAAAAAAGGTTTTCGGGGTTTCATTTGAAGCCGCGAAATGATTTTCGTCCATCCACCGTATGCCTCCTCAAGGATCCCGAAAAATGCCCAATCTATGATAGGGGGGTCAAACAAAAAGTCCGCTTCGAGTTTCTCTTGAAGGGCTCGGCGCTCAGCTGCCCCGTCGCCAAGGCTGATCACGTTCTTCCAACTTCCTAGCTTCAGCTTCAGCCGGACGTCTCGGCATAACTGCCCTGCCAACGCGTATGCTAAGATGTACATATGGGGGGGGGGTAACCACGAAAATCCGCCGACCCCTTGTCCTCAAAGGAGGAGGCGCACGGGAAGGGTGGATGGTCATCACTATTGCATCAGCATGTCTTTCTTATACATATATGAAGTGTGGGGCTAGGCTCAATTGGTGATGCAAAGGATGCTACGACGACAGTTATGATCACAATCCCTTATCATCATCATCATCATCATCATGATTAGCGTTAGGCTCAATTGGTGATGCACAGGATGTGATGCAGAAAGCGCTACGACGACCATTAGTTGGCTTTGGACCATGCTCATCCGAAACTTGCTCAGATGAGCATGTTGACAGCTGGTGGAATTGGCCCGCTACACACACAATCAGCATCATCACCATCATCATCACCATCATCATCACCATCATCATCCAGTATTGAAGTGTGGCGTTAGGCTCAATTGCTGATGCAGAGGATGCTACGATGATACTTATGATCACAATCTCTTGGCCCAATTGGTGATGCACAGGATGCATTGGTGATGCAGGCGACACTACGACGATAATTAAACTTGCGTTGGACCACGCTCATCCGAAACTTGCTCAGATGAGCATGTGCTCAGCTGATGGAATTGGCTCGCTAGACACATGATCATCATCATCATTATCATTATTTAGTATGTCTCTCTTCTGCATACTTGAAGTGTGGCGCTGTGGTGATAGATGCTAAGGATGCTTAGTGACGGTCATCATCGTCAGTGATGATTATCATCATCCTGCTCTGCGCTGCTGGAGATGCTAGAGTACGTGATGATGATGTAGTGATGATCATCGCCTTTGTATTCTCCTTACACACATTTCAAGTCACGTTAGGCACAGTTGGAAATGCCGGTGCTGCGTAGTGATGCTTATCATCATCCTGATCATCGCCGCTGGAGATGCTGTGGCTACGTCGCGATGATCATCGCCTTTGTATTCTTATTCATCAATCACGTATCGTTCCTACTGCTAGGCTGCAACACACCCCCTGTTCTTTTCCCTCCCTCATCATTCATAGTCTGCACCTGCTCGTGCCTGTCACAACCCTCATCGCCTGAGGAATTTGGACCTCCATGCATCTCCTGCATGGACTGTGCCTAGAGGGGGGGATACCGGTCAACTTCGGTTGGGATGCCTCTAACATCCTTAAAAGTTCCCCAATGCACTTCAACTCCCAAAGCACTAAAGAAAGCTCGTAACTGTGAGCACGGCACGAAATGGCAGCTTCCATATGACGGGGAAACAGAAAGCAGTAGACAAGGAGAAATGGTTCTGACGGGCCCAGGGGTCCTGCCAGCCCTTGGACGGGATCCACTCCCATAAAATGGTGTGAATCACGTGGGACATTCGCTCCAGGTCAGGCTCTCTGGACCTGCCACGGATCAAGGCTGCGGTAGTGTCAATATACCACACGCCCCGCCGATTGCATAACTCTCCGGACGGCAGAGGAGGGCTACAACACCATGGACAGTTCCAATTGAGCGATCTCCGGTTTGACGGAGTCCACAGATCATACAGCTCAATCGGGATGTCCGCAACGAATGCTTCCCGTCGCTCGGTGAAGAGGCCGTTGGTCCACACCATCAGGAAACCTCCCGTTCCCTGACGCCTCTGTCACCAACCTCTGCGCCAGCTGCGTGCAGGAGCCACCCACTCACGGTGCAACTGCTCGGTCAAGGTCCCCGATGGCTTCATCGCGCCCATGCCCTGGCGTCACTAGCCTCTGAACCTGCAGCGTGATCGCCTCCGGCTCGCGCTGACCTGCTCCAAGGCGTACGCCTGGTGCTCGCGTAGGTCAAGAGGGGAGATGGACGGCCGTCCCACGGCCCTCGCCCTCCACCACCTCAGCCGCGGCCGGCAGCAGCTCGGCTTCCTGCTCGCGCCCAAGCATTGGCCAGGCGCCAACGCCTCCTCGAAGGGCCCAAAGGCGAACGCAAAGTTAGCGTCGCTGCCTCCATTTGGCAGTGCGCTGAGCACCCACCACCGCCAGACCCGACTCCAGATCCCACTGCCCGCCGTAGAGCCCGGTCGGGACGGATGCCATGGCGCTAAGGATCCCGCAGAGAGAGGCTGAAGCATTCCTCGCAGATGGGCCGCTCGTGAACCTGGGAGAGTCGCTGGAGGGTACTGGCTCATACGCCGGCTCTCTCCAAGAGTCGCGGCCTGCCTGCCAGCACCTCCAAGCCCGGCTTCCCGGTCAAGACCACAGTCCTCGCTCCACGAAATCGGGCAAGGGCCCGAAGATGGCCCTCCCGTTCCCCAGGGCCGCCGGGTGAAGCCTGAGAATGGGCCACCAAGGGGCCTGCATCGGCGCCAGACGTACCAGAGTCCCACTCCAGTTGATAACGAAAAACCGAAACCAAAAAGGTGTCTGATTTTTACCTGTTCACCCGCTGCCTGCCAAGCTCTACACATGGCATACTACATATTTCAAAAGTCACGTTAGGCACAGTTGGAGATGCCGGCGATGCGTACCAACGCTTATCATCATCCTGATCATCACTGCTGGAGATGCTATGGATGCGTAGTGATGATTATCATCATCCTGATCATCGCCGCTGGAGATGCTAGGGATGCGTAGCGATGATTATCATCGCTGCTACTGAAGCTGCTAGGGATCATCACGAGTAGTGATGATCATCGCCTGTCTATTCTTGTTATACACATTTCAAACGTCACGTTAGGCACAGTTGGAGATGCCGGCAATGCGTCGCGATGCTTATCATCATCCTGATCCTCACTGCTGGAGATGCTGTGGATGCGTAGTGATGATTATCATCCTTGCTACTGGAGATGCTAGGGATGCGTAGTGATGCTTATCATCGCTGCTACTGGAGCTGCTAGGGATCATCACGAGTAGTGATGATCATCGCTTGTCTATTCTTGATATACACATTTCAAACGTCACGTTAGGCACAGTTGGAGATGCCGGCAATGCGTCGCGACGCTTATCCTCATCCTGATCATCACTGCTGGAGATGCTGTGGATGCGTAGTGATGATTATCACCCTTGCTACTGGAGATGCTAGGGATGCGTAGTGATGGTCATCATGATTATCGTCATGCTGCTGTGCGCTGCTGGAGATGCTAGGGATGCGTAGCGATGCTTATCATCATCCTGATCATCACTGCTGGAGATGCTACGGATGCGTAGTGATGATTATGATCATCCTGATGATTGCTGCTGGAGACGCCTAGTGATGGTTTTCATCGTTGCTACTGGAGATGCTAGGGATCATCACGAGGATCGTTGCTGGCGACGCTGTGGCTACGTAGTGATGATCATGGCTTTTGTCTTCTTATTAAATACATTTCAACAGTCACGTCAGGCGAGATTGGAGATGCCGGCGATGCGTGGTGATGCTCACCATCATCCCGATCATCGTTGCTGGAGATGCCAGGGATACGTGGTGAGGATTTTTATCAGGGTCATAATTTTGCAATGTATGAAGCATACGAAAAACTTAAAGCAAATAGTATTAAAGTTTATGCGGTGAAAACCGATGCCTTTCATATTGCAAAGAAAGATGTAAGGAAGGCAAAGAAGTTGTTAGATTTTCATAATGATATTGGAGGTTGGAGAGTAGAAAATAATAAAGTCTATGAACTGGAAACTGATTACAATTGGAAATTTAATGAGTTAGTAAAAATACCAACTTTTCAGAATGAAACAATACCAATTGAAGATGAGTGGGATGTTGAAAGCATCTGTAATAAGATTATTGAAAAAAGAAGAGTTATGATGAGAGCAAGATTTGCTGGGAGCGGTAAAAGTTTTATAGGCAAGTATATGGAAAATTTAGGATACAATACACTTTTTGTAGTGCCTCAAAATATGTTAAAACAAGAGATTGAATGCGAAGCGGTGACAGTAAATACATTCTTTAGCATTCCAGTTGATAAAGGGGACGACCTACCAAAGTTTGACTATTCAGATTTTCAATGTATAGTGTTTGATGAGATTTATATGTCCAGTCCTTACATATTGAACAAAATGAGGGTGTTTGCAAATAACAATCCTGACATCGTAATTATAGGTGCCGGCGATGTCAAGCAACTGCCACCGATTGACCCTTTCACTAATACTCAAAATGCAGGCGAATACATTGACAAATGTATTGACATTATTTTTAAATATAATATATTTTTAAAGATATGTAAGCGAGTAGGTGGTAAGGATACAGAAGAAGGAGAAAGAAACAGAAAGAAACTGAATGAAATCTATGATGACTTTTGGATAAAAAAGATGGCAGTTGAAGAATGGATAGTTAAGCATTTCAAATTTACTAAAGATGTTATGAAAAGCAGGAACAACATAGCATATACAAATATAAGATGCGAGGCAGTATCAAATGAGATTAGAAAACGATTAGGTAAAACATGCAAATATGAAATTGGAGAAATCTTAATATGCAGACTTTACAAAAAGGACAAGGAAGGAAAACTGAATGTTAATATTAGGTGGAAGGTTGTTAATAACGAAGGATACAAGATAACAATACAAGATATTAAGGATACAGAGAACATTAGAACACTTGACATTGATATTATAGATAAGCATTTAGATATGCCTACTGTGCTACCACTCATAGCAGACAGGGGACATCAATCAGTGACAATATGACCATTCACGAATGGAACAAAGATTATTTAGTTTGCAGGGAATGGTTGTGGACGAGTATCACACGAGCGAGGGATTTTAACAATGTCTATTTTTACAAGAACAAAGAGGGAGATGAAGATATGTTCAAGAGTTTGGTAATCAACTATTTTAAAAACAAAGTTGAAGGATATAAACAGCAAGATAGAGTAGCAAAAAGAGAAATAGATGAAGAGCAATACATTGACGAAAACTGGTGCTTAAAAAAACTTCAAATCCTGTTGCCAAAACTGCGGAATTAAATTTAACCTAGATACAAGAGGAGG